CAGTCGTCCATGTTTTCATCGGAGAAGGTGTCTACGTCGTCGAAGTTCTTCTCGTCGAAGGAGCCGGTGTCGGAGCCCATGGACTCGGGGTAGCCGTCGGGCACGGGCGTGTTGGGGATCTGGCCGCCCATGTGCATGCGGATGTGCTGCTGCAGGACCACGGCGTTGGTGAACTTCTTCTGGCAGATGGGGCAGGAGTGCTGCACGCGCAGCGGGGGCATGGCGCGGTGCACGCTGTAGTGGGTCTTGAGGTTGCCCTTGGTGGTGAAGGCGCGCCCGCAGACCTTGCACTTGAAGGGCCGCTCCCCGGTGTGCGTGCGGTAGTGCATCTTCAGCGCGCTCTGGCAGCTCAGCACCCGGTGGCAGATGACACACTCGTTGGGGTCCGCGGCCTTCTTGTCGATGTTCTCCACCAGCTGCTGCAGCTTGGACGTCTCCGAGGCCTGCGTGGAGTCCAAGAGGCCCCCGAACGGGAACTTGGCCTTGAACTGCTCGGACATGAGCGGCAGCAGAGGGTTGGTGAAGGCAGCGGCGCCGGGCGGGCCGTTGTCCGCTGCCGTCGGGGGCAGCGGCAGGCCCACGGACGTGGTGAGGGTGGGCAGGACGGGCTTGGTGTCCAGCCAGCTGGTGACGGGCTTCTCGGGGGGGATGGACATGCCGTAGGGGATGCCGGTGCTGGTGGGGATGTTGTCTAGGTGCTCGGGCACGGGGTAGGGGTTCATCTGGATGTGGGGGTACTTCTCCTTGTGCCTCTGGAAGTGCACCTTCAGGTTGCCCTTGGTGGAGAAGCGGTTGCCGCAGATGTTGCACTTGAAGGGCCGCTCGCCCGTGTGGGAGCGCAGGTGGATCTGCAGGGCGCTGTCGCTGCCGAAGACCTTGGCGCAGAACCTGCACTTGTGCTTGAAGAACGCCTCGTCCGACGTGCTCTTGGCCTCGAAGGCCGCGACGGTGGGCGGCTTGCTCTTCCGCTGCTGGGCCAAGGCCGCCAGGGGGCTCAGGTC